TTCCCATATAATTTAGGGAATATATAATAGTTACTCGAGTGAAACTATAAAATATATAATAAAAAATATTAATTTCTCATCTTTTCACAACACAACTATCATTGTTAATTTCACTAATTTTGTTGTTTTATCATCATTTTAACGGCATTATAAGAAGTGTAGACGTGAGTTTATATGTGAGGTAACATGACTCACAAATAAATATATTTAAAATAATGATTTTATTATTTTTAATTAATTTAACTTGAAGTTGAGGTTGATAGGATAAATAAGTTAGGTCAGTTCATGCAAACTTGTTATAACTCTAATATATAAATATGAATAATTATTTTGTGTGAGAACATTTTTAAAAATATTTTTTTTATGAAAATATTTTTAATATATTTTATTGCAATGTAAATTATTTATTATAAATCTAATAAGTATAGTTTATATATTTAAAAATATTTATTTATTTAAATTATATATATAATTTATATATTTAAATACAATATTTATTTTTATATAATATTTTTTAAAATTTAGTTATATATGATATACATTAAACATGTGTATTGTATAAGTTAAAATACTAATTATCTAAAAAAAATTATTTTCCTTCATTTAAAATTCTGCATAATATTTTTCTTTTATTTTTTTTTCTCATTTTTTGAGTTGTTAAAAATCAGTATGTTGTTACTTGTTGGTCTTTTGTGTGTATTTTTTTTATTTTGTTAATTTTATATTTTTAAGTCATGTAAATTAACTCAAAATAACTCATCTAATCTATCAACTCATGATGGGTTAACTATATTTTAGATTTTATTTTGCTAGAATAAAATAGTCTCTTTTTTAACTAACGTGTGATGATTCACGTATGAAAATCAACTTAATTCACTTCTAATATCTCCATAGACATTATTATAATTATAATTATTACAATTACTATTACTATTACACTATTACTGCACTAATATCATCATGCATCATCAATAAAATCACCATGTCACAGTTGAGAATGACAAAAAAAGCATACTTGTGAATAATTCAAAATGTATTTTTTTAGTTAAATCAGTACTTGTTTATTAATGAAATTGAGTCGACTAATTAGATGCTTATACACGCGAGTACTCTCAATTTAAAATCATTTAAATATTTTAATTATATAACAAGTAAATTTATATAATTGATTTTAAGTGTAAAATTATATTTCAATTTTTTCTCAATATAAAATTAAGTTACAAAAATTATTTTTTATTATAAATACATTTTAAAATATTTTTTAACCTTTTTTAAACTTCATATTTTAACAAATTACGTTGATACCCAATTAATATGTACTCATGTAAATTCACGCGGGTATGAGAAAAATACTATACTTGCACTTGTCTCATTCCTATAATCACAATTATCACCATTACTAGTATCACAATCTTTTATCACCATTAAACTCATCCTTATTTTAACTATTATTGTTCCTATCACTATTGTGTATCTTAATTATTGCACTTTAGAGATGTCAAAGTGAAACCATCCCAATTTACTTTAGTTGTCTTAGTATTGGTTATTCATAAAAGAAGTCAAACTAACTCTATAATCACTAGCTACAATGATTTTTTTTAGTTACTCATAAAATATAACATAGTTTAAATCTTGCCTTTAATTAATGGACTAGTGATGAGTTGACTCACTTAATTTTAAAAACATAAAATAAATATAAAAAAATAGACAAATAAAAAAAATACAAAAGCTGCAACACAACAATAGTTTATAACAAACTCAAACAATTAAATAAAAGAAAGTTAAGTTGACTCAAATGAACATGTTTTAACTTAATAA